ATGCCCCCTTTCCAGAGTCCCGGGACACCTGTCAGGGAAGTGTGGGCCTGCGGGAAAGGGCTGCCACCATCCCAGTGAACCCCACCTTCACCCTCACTGCCTGCGGGGGCCCGGGGGCTGTCTGCACTGAGCCTGGTTCCCTGTCTGCAGGGCCATGCTTCCTCAGTGAGGAGTCGAGCAGAGCCGGAGCTTCCTGGTCCCAGAGGCCGGGGCGCGAGTGAACTGGGGCCCTGGACACAGAACCCAACGGGGAAGGAGGGCCGGGGTAAAGGTGCGAGCCTGGAAGCAGCAGCTGGGCCTGACCGAGGGACCGAGACCCTGGGGTGCCGCCTGCTTGCGGCCATAGCCCCGGGCGGGGGTTACTCTCAGGCTCACTCTAAAACCAGCCAGCTGGACAGGGTTCCCTCTCTGGTGGACGACACAGCACAGGGTGAGGACGCTGCCTACTGCCCACACGGGGCCGGTCCCAGGCCTGGCCTCAGGACAGGACAAGCCTAGGTGCCAAGGGCAGACGGAGGGGGCCCTGAATGCAAGAGCCCCCGCCCCTCCGGCCCCAGCGTGCAGCTACAGGCCTTCCCAGAGGGCTGGAGCGGCGGGACGCTGTGGACACCCGCTCTCCGGTTCGCTCGCCGTCTCACCAATGATCAGGCATTTGAACACCCACACAGCTGAACGCAAGCCCAGGCGGCAGAGCAAGAACCACAAAAAAAAACCACAGAACCAGCTTCCTGGAGGGTGTGTGCAACCCTGTGCCCCTCCCTCACAAAGTGACGTCTTCTTTCTTGGACTCAGGGGTCTCCCTGCCCTGGTCCTGTCTCCCAGGCACCGGCCCCTGGAACACCAGAGCAAAAGGGAGCCCTCTCGGGCCTAAGGGTGCGCTGGTCGACCCGGGGGGCTATCGGCAGTGGGACACGGCGGGGAAGCTCCGGTCCTGCCACAGGATGGCCCCCCGCCTCAGCCAGGCCCCCCTCTCCTCCTGTACTTTGCTCTCCTCAACCCCGGAGGCCACTGCTCAGGGCACCTGCCTTCCCAGCCTCACCCGCCCCAGTTCGGGCCTCTCCCCGCACGGCAGCCTCTGCCTCTTCTGGCCACAGCCTCTGGGGGCCACCCAGCCTTTGTGGACACTGTGGCGTCATCTCAGGGCCGCCTACTCACCCTCTCGGGCTAACTCAGGTGCTCACCCCCTCCTGGCTCCGGTCGCCCTGCCTGCAGGCACGTGCCGAATGGGGTTCTCTGGACACCTCACCAGCTCCCCTGTCCCTGCAGACCTAAGGCCAAACCCGGGTTGGGCCCAGAGCAGCTGGCCCGCACGGCTGTGCCTGAGACCAGAGCCCTGGACCCACAAAGCACTCGGTCCCCACACCAGGGACCCGGCCCGACTGCCTGCTGGGCTTCCTGACCAAACCAGGAGCAGGATGAGGTCACATCAGTTCCCTGTCCCAGGGCTGTGCATCTGTCAGCAAAGGGCTGCCTGTACGGACATCCTACTTTAGCTAAGGAGGTTTCTGCTACTCTGGAAAGACAGGACTGGCCACACAGTCAGCAGGTTCTCACCCCCTGGGGACTTGAAGAACGAGGCTAATATAACATTTATGGGCGCCGCCTCCCGCCTCCTTCTGCAGCAGAAAATCACACCCCACCCAGCTGACGGCCACAGCCTAGGTCCTACCAACCCGTCTTCCCAGGAACATCTGGGTCCTCCCGCCCCCTCCAGAGCTCAGCTTCGGGCCCTGGGTCTTCACCACCAAGACCCTGTACTGCTGCCCCCCCCCCCCCCCCGGGTCCTGCCACCCGGCAAGACTCGGGGACACTGAGAGACTTCTCCTGGAAAGAGACCAGGGGCCTGGTGCCTTCCTGGAGACAGAAAGGACAGTGACCCGCCACTCGCTCACCCTCATCACCTCTTCCCATCTGCAGCCGCCCCTCCTCCATCTACCACCCCCCACAACACGACAGCCAGCTGCACCACTATCCCCCACCCTTGTCCTAATTCCCCTCCCCAAATAATTCCCCACCCTGCACGCCCTGGGCCCTCTAAAGCCATCAAGCCCTCAATCTGGCCCCAGTCCGTTTCTTTAGGTGTCACCCATTGCTGGGCCCACCCACACACACAGTATAAACAGAGCCGCCTCTGCCAGCTGCCATCACCTCGGAGAACCACACGCAAATGCCCCCTTTGTGCGCCTTGACTCTTATCCAAGCCAACGGCAGGGCCCACGGCAGGGCCCAGAACCATTCTGTGGCTGGAGATCACCCACCCCTGCTCTGCTGCCTCCAGGGAAATCCCTCCCTCTCTGGACCTCAGAGAACTCACTGAAGCCAAAGCAGCCCCCGAGATGGCTCGCCAGGTTCTCCCGCTTGACAGGGACCCCAGCACAACCATGTGGAGCTACCACCTCGAACGACACCTCTGTGGCTCCTCATCCAATAGGACCACAGACACGCCCTCAGACAGGACCGTCCTAGGAAGAGCGCGCTAACTGGGCACTTCTGGGAGCGGAAGGGCCACTGTTGACCACAAAGCACGACTGTGGACAGTGCTGGACGCACCAAATGCAGAGCCAGCCACTCAGAGGAAGGCAGAGGCCCAGGAAAGTCCAGCATATGTGAAGAGGCTGCGGTACCGCCAGCCACAGCAAGCACTCGCTACGGGCTGGTTACAGGCTTGCTGGGCACAGCAGCCCGGCACCCAGCAAGGCAGAGTCTGAACCCCAAGGAGCCCTAGCCTCTGAGCCTCCGGGGCAGCAGACAGGGCCAGGGCCGGACAGCTCAGCCGACCTGAGCCCTCCGGAGCCCATCACTGCCCTTGCCTGCACCCCTGCCAGGTCCCGGGACACCCCTGACGTCAACGTGGCTGTGCTCAGAGACAAGGAGGGAGTCTTCCAGATGGCTGAATTTTGTACCTTGCCCTTCCATGGGAACCAAGGACTTCAGAGACCTCCTAGGGGAAGGCAGGGCATTGGGGGGGGGGGGGACCCAAAGCCCAGCCTCTGGCCACCCAGTCTCAAATTCTTCCCCACCCACCCCCCCACAGCCATATGCTTTAGGGCAGGAAAGAAGATGCTACTCTGTTTTCCAGAAAAGTGACAATGAGTATTCCAGAATTAGAATCGGTGATGCAAATGGTGGGCATTCCTTTAGAATTTCCGATGTTAAATTTTTCTTAGATTCCGCTTTCCCATCACATCCTGTGTCTTTGTGGTACTCAACAGTTTCAGCCCCTAAGACTTCTAGAAATGATGTTACCCCAACAACAGCCAGAATACTGCTGTACGCCACGTCCAACAGGGGCTTTCCCTTGAAGACCCCTCAGGCCAAGCCCCTAGCGCTGCCCCACCCCCACCCCCTCTTTTCTGGCTGCTGGCAGCCGCTCCCATCCCCAGCAACAGACCAGCGCCAGCGTGTGCACCCCCCACCACGTGACCTGGAAACCTCAGCTCACCCCAAATCAAGCCCACGCCCCGCTTCCTCCCCTCCCCACTCCCACTCCTCTCTTCAAGCTCTCTACCCAGGACTCCCTCACTGCTCATCACAGACACCTCAGGGCCTTTGCTCAAGGTGTCCCCTCTGCCCAACACGATCTGACTCATCCTTGGGAGTCAGCTACAAGACAGCCTTTTCTTGGAAGTCTCCCTGGGGCTGGGCGGAGAATACAACTTTTGCACCTCCGTATCATCTGATGTTTATGACAGCCCGGTGGCCTTCGTGATTAGAAAGCCGACCCCACACGGCTTCCACCCCATCTCTGGAAGCCCCCTACGGTGGTCAGGCCCTGCAACCCAGGGAGCTCCCCGAGGGCGGGGCAGACGCAGGCCCGTCTTCCCCCGTTTCCACCCTGCACCTGGCACCGCACCACCTGGCCTGCGGAGGCCGGGGCTGTGGGAAAGGCTGGATAACGGAGGGCAGGGAAAACGGCGGGGGGCCTGGCCAGCTGCATTCCAAGAGCCAAGGAGCATCCTCAGGAATGCTCCCTTCGGAAAGGGGGGAAGGCAGGACATTTGTCAACCACCGCGGCGGCAGCTTCAGAGAATGGAAAGGGCGGGCCCATCGCTGCCCCTTCCGCGCCCGTCTCCCCCGGGGGGACCCAGGCGCCGCGTCCCGGGACAGGTGCGGACCGGCCCCGCCACGTCCCCACGCCCCCTCCTCACCGCACCGCCCGC